ATTTTTAATCATTATTACAGTATTATTATTCCATTAGTGGTAGTAACTTATTTATTACTGCTGCTGCTGCTATGATTATTGTTGTAAATACTGATTATAGTGTAGTGGTGGTAGTAGTAGTAATCTTTATGATGACAAGGTCTAGGGTTCGAAAAGCATCGTGACGGAAATTGTATTTTTAAACCTTGTATCTCAGGCTGGCCCAGCGTAAAATGGGTGCCAGCTAACGTTCAGGGAAGTCAAGGTGGCCGGCGTGATGTTGACCACACAACCACCTACTACTGGTTGTTCTATATAAATATTAGTCTAGCAGCGTATGCCCGATTCTCTTCTGGCGTAAAATTTGTCATTTTTTTTAACATAAAGGCTGTGGTGTCCGTATCAGACTTGGCCATCACAACTGAAGATGTTTGGTCGATTGTTGGATTCCGTCGTTGAAATTGTGGATGCCACGCTTTGCGTTGAGCTTTAGGAAGGCGACCAGCCATCGTGTTGAGAGAGACTGAGGGGTGGATTTTTGTTTCTAATGTCAAATCAGTGCTGTTGTATGGAGCGGAAACACGGAGAACAAGTAAGGCAATTAATAATAGCTTCAAACATTCATTAACTGGTTATCCAGTTTCGTCCGTTTTAGAATAATATTTTTTTTTTTTATTTGAAGCTCCGCCCTGGCTTTTGTCAGGGGCCGCAATATAGGCAGGCCATAAATATGGCCAATTGTCTGAACGCGGTTTCTGGGACCTCTCCACGACGATCCTCATCCACATGGTGGCATTTTGTGTCATCTGGTGTTTATCGCTTGTGTGATGTCCTGGTGGGGTAGAAAGTCAGTCAGCCATTAACTGGTGCCTGCGCAGAATAGAGGGATAAAATGGTATCATATAATGATTAATGTAGAGTTTTCCGAGAGAAAAAAACAAAACAAGTTCTCGTTAACCAAGAGGCGAAGAAAAGACGCTGGCTTTGGACAGGACACATGTTAAGAAAACCTGAGAATATAACCAGAATGTCTTTGAACTGGAACCCACAAGGGCATATACATAATGGAAGAAACAAAAACCAAAAACAAAAATACACACACTCACACATGGAGATGCTAGCGAAAGAGTGGATGATAGAACGACCTAACGTGAGCTGGTTGAGGACCTATGCTCCATTGGGGGTTAGAAAGGCGGCAGCAGCAGCAGCAGAAGAAGAAGAAGAAGAAGAAGAAGAAGAAGAAGAAGAAGAAGAAGAAGAAGAAGAAGAAGAAGAAGAAGAAGAAGAAGAAGAAGAAGAAGAAGAAGAAGAAGAAGAAGAAGAAGAAGAAGAAGAAGAAGAAGAAGAAGAAGAAGAAGAAGAAGAAGAAGAAGAAGAAGAAGAAGAAGAAGAAGAAGAAGAAGAAGAAGAAGAAAAAGAAGAAGAAGAAGAAGAAAAAAAAGAAGAAGAAGAATAAAAAGAAGAAGAAGAAGAAGAAGAACAAGAACAAGAACAAGAAAAATAACAACATCAACAATAACAATCACAATCAAACAAAAAAAGGGAAAAAACACAGAGTAAGAAGAAAACATGATTAAACGAATACATTCTAATATTTCTTGCATCGCATTGTTGAGATACACTGGAGACACTTTTACCTGTCCTGGCTCGCTGAACTTGCTGGTTTCAGGTAGGTAGTCTTCCACTTAAGCAGACACATAACAAATTGGGTTCGCCTGTTGAAATATTCAATTTTTTCCTCAAATGTAACAGTCTCGTGGGCAGCAGACACGAAGAAGTGGAAATACCGTAGATTATATAATTGTGGGGTTTTTTTCGGAGGATATTAGATTATATGAGGTAAGAGACAGTTATCTATGTGTTCTTTTGTTGTTCTGCTTGATCTTGCTGTTATTGTTTTCTTCTTCTTCTTCTTCTTCTTCTTCTTCTTCTTCTTCTTCTTCTTCTTCTTCTTCTTCTTCTTCTTCTTCTTCTTCTTCTTATTTTTCTTCTTCTTCTTCTTCTTCTTTTTCTTCTTCTGGCCGTCCTTTTCCCCCTTTATTCTCCTGATCCTCCATAGAACAGTTAAAGCTTGCACTGTGTTATTCTACTCGCATAGGGCTAGTTTTCATCACAGGTGCAATATTCGGGCCTTCTGAATAATACACGTAGCCTCTTAGGTTATTTGTTGTACAGCTGGCCTTCTTGGATGTCATCGGTGTCGGAACCTGGAGCTTGGGTAATTGAATTCCTAACCCCCCCCCCCCCCCAACCACCACCACCACCAACACCACCACCACCACCACCAAGCCCATAATTATACAGGAGCTGACCCTTGTGTTTGATTCTGTCGGTATGCTTTAGGAACCCCGTCGATGTTTGTATCCACCTCGAGACTTCGAGGCAATACAGCGGAAATCTAGTTTTCATATCTGTATCTTCGCCCACACACCCCCCCCCCCCCCTTTTTTTTTTTTTTTTTTGCCCCGACGCCATTTGTTGGTCCCCTTAGAACATTTTTAATTGAAATAACCATGTATAGAAGTTCTCATTTCATACATACGTTTCCTGTCTTCTGTCTTCTTCTTTGCGTTCACCGGCTGTAAACTCCGGTGGAATGTTTTGATTGTTCGTCCACTTCTGGACTTTAGTCTTGTTCCAGAACTTGAGTTTTACGTGCACATCCGTTCCACGTGTCTAGCCTATTTGTATGCAGACTGATGGCTTCTTGCCTCTCGGGGAGATGCACTCCATCGTCGAGAGAATCTCCTAATTAGTCGACTCTTACGTCATGCGTGTTAGGGAGGAAGTGGGTCTACTCTTGGGGACATCTGGCCTAAAATGGAGGATAAGGCATGGCAGAATGTTAAGCTTTGAAGTTATTTTTACTTCCGACAGCGCTTTGCTAATTCAGTTTCCACATATGTACTGTAGTCTACAGTTTCGCTGCCTGAGCTACTGAAATAAGTGCTTGGTGCAGCTCTGCCAGCTGTGTTTTATCTGTGGAATGCCTTCCTTTTTGCTGCGGTTGTGTCGTGGTGTTCAAAATAGCCAGTAGCCGGTTTGCGTATGAGTTGGTGAAATATCGAGGCGCATTTTTACAATTAAAATTTGTCCACGGCGGCCCAACCCAAGGAAAAGTTTGACTATCCGTAAGTAAGAGATAAAAAAAAAATAAAACTCTTTTATCTTCCTCATTCCCCCCCCCCCCCCCCCCCCCCCACCCCCCCCCCCCCCACCCCTTTTTTTGTTTTTTTTTTTTTTTTTTTTTTTTTTTTTTTTTTTTTTTTTTTTTTTTTTGTTAACATTAAATTACCAAACAATATATTGAATGAGCCTCTAAATCACTGCACATTTTCTCAAATCGTGAAATCAAACTGGACACAGTCACCCTCATTTACTTTTCCACGTTGATTTTTGCTCCATACTTTGCTTTTTATTACAGCGACCGCCGGAAACCCAACTTCGCACAAATACGACGTTGAAAATGGAATTAAAATCCGCTGAGCCGTATCACTTAGAAGGAAAATATACTTATTTTATTAAAATCCGAAATTCTGTCAATTTCATGCTACAAAATTTTGCTTTCAAAATGTGATCGCAAGATAACTCAATAAGATTCTCGTTTTCTGCGGAAGTAAATTCAGACGGAGCACTAGTGTTAACTTCACTAGGCTTAGATTATAAGTCGACGTCGACTGACTGAATCCAACCGGTAACGCTTGCTTATATACATTCCGCAAGATCTTCCAGAATGTTCCTCTTCTTTCGCTAAGAATCTCGCATCTCTAGTGCGATCATTTGGCGCGACTTAGAAGACAGCGTCGCCGGCACGCGTTTGCAATGAAATTATGCACCGGCACCTTTATACAGGGTCATACAGGGTCAAATAAAAACATTAAAAAATATATAAATAGATAATTTTAGTTTATCACTTTGGGGAGGGGGGGGGGGGGGGGGGGGTTTAGTTCGGCCAAATTTCTTGGTTAAATTAATTATGAAGCTTTTACAATATTTCGCGGCCCCCCTGTGAAGAGGTTGCGGCTCCCTGGGGCTCCGCGGCGTACAGTTTGGGAATCACTGCCTTATGGAATAATTTACGTGTGTATAGTAACCAACTTATCGTGCCCGACTACTTCCATAAACGACAAACTACATTTCTGGTAGCGAATGTTGGTTTTAGCGCCCCTAGCAACTGTAATTTGCATTTACTGCGTGCGCATATTTCTGGATGGTTCCGAGACTGTTCACCATTTTTCAAATGCGATAATGAGGGACATTTTATTTGATTTGCACTGGCACTGGAAAGGAGCAAGTATGGGGAAACCCAATTAGAGTGAAGTTGGAACCTCGACAAAGGCTAAGGGTCTACTCTTGTTTTCCCCTAAATTGGACACGGAACCTACACTAGGAATATATTTCACACCTTTATTTATTTATTTATTTATTTATTTATTTATTTATTTATTTATTTATTTATTTATTTATTTATTTATTTATTTATTATTGACTTGATTGACATTTAGTGCATTGTAATAATAATAATAATTATTATTATTATTATTATTACACTTGGGCAAGGCTTAGGCTGTGAGGCACCCCCCTCTTATTCACTTTATAAGAGTGATGAGGCTCTCACATCTGGAGCACTCCCAGTTCTTTATCTGTGTCGGTCTCTTGTTGAATATCTTTTATTTTTACTGCAGGTTCATATCTTTCACAACACTGCATTAATAGCTGTCTTATTTCTCCCACAGGAAAACGCACACAACAATACAAACAAAGCGACCTTTTTGTGTTGAAATCTACTAAGTCAAGACATCCCGAGTACATCAAAACTTGCGCGCTGCAAACTTATTCAACTCAACAACCTCACAAAATCCGACGGGTATTATTTTGTGAATTTTTATCTTTTTTTCGCTCCAATTCTGTTGCATTATTTTTAATGCGGTTTCATCCAATTCATTTCCCAGCATTCGTCAGCGATTTTACTGAAGGCAGTTAATTTGTGAAGACAAATTTATAGGATTCACTAACCAGGGATGACACAAAATGTGGTCTCGCTTTTCAGTGTTACGCTACAAGTGTTCATTATCTTATGCGTGGATGTTATCGGAGTCCGGGGGTTCAAATACCATGAATTCTGCGCCACGCCGCCTACAGATATGAAAACCAGATTTCCACTGTATCGCCTTGAAGTGGATACAAAGATCGACGGGGTTCCTTGGGCATACCGACAGAATCACACACTGACAGGTGAGATTTATCATCATTATCAACATCATCATCAATTTCAGCATCAACATCATCGTTATCAACATCATCATCAATGTCAGCATCAACATCATCGTTATCAACATTATCATCAATTTCCTTATCAACATCATCATCATCAATATTATTTTCAACATCATCATCAACTTCAGCATCAACGTTATGATTATTAATGTTCATGTAACTTCGACGGATCAACATCGTGGCATACGGATGTAACCCATCAGTGCTCCGTTCTACTTCTAACTCAAGCCTTAGTCTGAAAATTCTAAGCGCAGTGCACGAACTCCGTAGCACAGGCGAGAATCCCGAAATACTTTTGTTAGATTTTTAGCTCCAAATTTTGCCCGGGCAGCGCTGTTAGGCTACTCTCTTTGATTTCCAACTGACAAGGGATTTTTTTTTTCTTCGTGCGCAAGAATACATACGGGCTTCCGATCTCACTACCCAGAGACCAGGGAAAATTACTAGAAGTCCAGGTGAAAAACCCCAGGCTTCACCGAGTCTTGAACCCGGGACCTCCAGCACTCGAGGCGGACACTATACCTCGAGACCACTATCAATATCATCACCAACTTCATCAACAACATCATTAACAACATCATCATTATTAACATCATTATTAACTTCAGCATCAACATCATCATCAATTTTAGCATCATCTTCATCATCATCAGTATCCTGTCTTGTCTATGCACGTCACATAAGTTCAGGGCCGTATTAAGACCCTTTGATGTCCTAATCACAAATATTTGTGCTTCTCTCCCCCCCCCACGCCCCCCCCCCCACTCCACCTTTCCTGGAATCGTAACTGCCTTATGGGCCCCTGGGCAAACTAGTGTCCTAGGGCCCCTTCGACGACTAGTCACATGAATTAAATGTAAACGGTCACTGTGTTAAGACATCACCGGTGCCTTCTTGAATATGTAATTCAAAATATAAATCATTTTAAGCCACAGAATAAAATTTAATTTATCAGAATTAAACAAAGCTGTTAAGGCATGGCAAAAGGCAAGGAAAACTGATCCGTCACTTTCTGAACGCCTGATCAGTCTGAAAGATAAGGTCAACAAGCAGACAGTGGCTTTCACGTGTGCGAAGGAAGCCAAGACCGCGAAATGGAACGAATTCTGCAAGAGCGTTTGCTCCAAGGGATCTCTTGTGACATTCTGGTGCCTTCAACGGAGCATGCACGGCGCCACAAGACCAAGGGGTATCCCTGATTTTCAGGGTGCAGACTTGACATGGCATAGAACTGATGCTGATAAAGGAAAAACCCTTCTTGCGCGCTACTTGGAGCAAACTGATTAGAGAGACGAAGCTACAAGAATAGGGGTTAAGATGAAACTGTCGATGCTGTGCGAGAACACTGTGATAGGCACTGATTTTTACAATCACTGCAGATACCTTGCAAACTTGCCTTAAGAAATCACGTGGCAAAGGAATTCAATATCAGCATCTCGATGCAGAACACTGTTGGCAAACTTTTGGGGAAATTTGTCGCACGAAGATTGACTACCCACTTGGAACTACTCTATAAGTTCCTACCAAGACTTGGAGTGTACAGGTTGAATAGAGACATTGTTCAATGCTGCAGTTTTCGCCTACGATGTTTACGAGGGATTTCAGATTAAAGAAGAGACATGTGCGACAGCTGAGGACTTAGAAGATGCCTATTCTGATCTGCTGAATTGCTGCGGTCCTGTTCCAGAGGAAGATAGTACTTAGATGTGGTAGCTAGTCCTCATAACCGGAAACGATATGTCCAGGCTTGCCACAAGGATCACCGCTATCACCAGTCTTATTCATCGTGTATACGGTGATGATCACTGAGCAGCAGTTGAATGGAAAGGGAAGGACTTTGTCATTTGCTGATGACATTTTGATTTATCGACAAAGGGGTGATAGACAGGAGATCGCCAGCACAATGCACACAGAACTCGATCGAATTGCCGCCTGGTGTGATGGTTCCAATACCTATCTTAATCTTTCAAAGGCATCAGTGCCATGGTTCTCTTTGAACAATCACATTGTCAAGTCGGACTTACCAGAAGTGAAAATTCGTGATAATGTGTTGATCAGAACCAATGTTATGACGTTTCTCCCGGTGAGGTTTGATCGCAGCTTGTCATTCAGGGAAAATGTAGACCATGAGATAACAAAAGCACGCAAAGGTCTTTCTGCAGTGAGGATTATGGCTATTTCTAATTAACAAGCAAAGACTACTAATACTTCTATTCTACGGTCTGGTTATTTCCCCCATTGAATACGCTCTGGCCATACTCACTGTCAGTGCTACCCAGATTGAACGACTTGAAAAGGTGCAAAATGAAGCCATGCGCATTATTTTGGGATGTACAAGAAACAGATCCTGTGGAGCGATGAGGTATCTACTTGACTTTTCAACTATGAACCAAAGGATCAGGATCTGGAGGGCTCGGGCATACCTTAAATGTGTGCTGATAAGAAACACCCACTGCATAAAGCGATTTTAATGAAAATGGCGACAGGCTGAAGAGGGGAAAATCATAGCTAGGTCGGCCAGAAGATGTTATTAGGCAAATTTGCAGCCTAACCGACCACCCCTGGTTCAGAGTGGATACCTGTGCATTATGCTTTTATTTGTACATTTTCCTGTATTGCCACACTCAACAGGCGATGTAGAGAAGAGAATCCTGTTGCTGTTTATTAAAGCAGAGGTCAACGCACTTATCAGTGAAAATTCAGACGAAGCAGATTCATTAATCTACATGACGGATCCGTTATATGCCCAAAAAAAAAAAAGTGCATGGGCATTCACACAACACGGTCAGCAGGCAGAACAGTCAAAGAAGCCAACGGCTCCTTCTTCATGATAACTAGCAGCATGAGGATGGAGGTGATGGTAAATCACACCCCAGCGCCAGTATGTGCTACGTGACTACATTTACACATCATCTTCATACTTCTTATCGCTAACTGACTGTCGACTCCGGCTGAAAGTTCTGGTTGTTAGTCCACTTCTAGATTTTACTCTTGTTTTAGAACTTAGGTTTTGCGGGCACATCCGTTTTACATATCTGATTCATTTTTAAGCGGACTGTTAGTTCCAAGCCTCTCAAATTTCGAAGGGAAACCCTCTAATCAGTTGCCTTTTAGGACGTGCTTGATATTGGCAGCGGATCTATTAGTTCTTCCCTCTAAATAGGGCTCCCATTTTTAAACAGACACACATTTGAAGTGTTGTTCCCTTTCTTATTTCCCTCCTTTTCATCTACCACTGTTCAACCTCCGCTTCTTTCCCTGCCTCTTTTTTCTTCATCATCATCATTATCTTCTAATTCTTCTTCTTTTCCTCCTCCCCCTCCCCCTCCCCTCATCCTCCACATTCTTTTTGCTTAGTAAGATAACCTATTAACAAACTATTCAACTAGTTTACCCAACAAACTAACTAATCAAATAATCTACCAATCATCTTACACTGTCTCCTCTGTGTCTTAGTCTCAGTGAAGGCGCTCTACCAGAACTTCCCCATCAAGCAAATATTCATGTCGGTCCCATCCATGACCAAAGCCACAACAGAAGTCCCAGCAAGGAAGATCCATCTCGGAGAGTGGAAATGGGATATGAAGGTAAGGTTATGGATAAAGTAGCCATCTTCCCTTGTCTTTTGGCTCTTATCCTCTAGTGAAGGGTTTCCTAAACTGTCGCCATGTTAGAGCAGTGTGAAGATGTGTCGCGGAAACGTAATGCGTTAATCAGTTACAGAAAGTGCTTTTATCTTTTATAAGAAAGTTAGTTGAACCTCCAGTTCGCTAGTAGACTGTGTCTCCGTATTGGATCTATGGTTTTATTTAGAGAGGGGTGGGGGAGGGTAGGTGAAAGAAATGTGCCCACAAATATCAAGTTTTGGAAAAAACTGAAGTCCAGAAGTGGACGAACAACCAGAACATTCCGCCGCATGCTCGCCGCCAGTGAACGCTAAGGAGAAGAAGGAGAAATTATCTGTCGTGAAATGTTATTTGTCTACAGGCTGTGTCACCAACACGAAATGTACGGAAAGCTGTGCGCTTGTGAAACAAGTGGCCTCAACGTACTCACACAAAGCGTTCCTATCCTTTAGCTATGTCCTGAAATTCTCTCTCTCTCTCTCTCTCTCTCTCTCTCTCTCTCTCTCTCTCTCTCCTCTCTCTCTCTGTCTCTCTCTCTCTCTCTCTCTCTCTCTTGTGTGTGTGTGTGTGTGAATGTGGGTGTGGTTGCGTGTGTGTGTGTGTGTGTTCGTGTGGGTGCGTGTGCAAGTGTTTGTGTGTATGCCTGTGTGTGTGTTTTCCTAATTTGATCTATTCCTATATTTCTCCATCTTATGAGTTTTCAATTACCTCTTTTTTTCTGTCGCCTTGTGAGTTCCAGTAAACAGATATTCTAGTTATAATGCTATCAATATGTTTCTGTTATTGATCTCTTGATTCTCTTGAACTGAGTTTTCTTTCCAACGGTTTTCATTAGTGATCATGTCATTTTTCTTCTGTTTCCTTTTTCACCGGCTTCTGTAAGCTCTACTGGAAAGTCCTGGTCGTTCGTCCATTTGGACTTTGGCTTTGTGCAGGGTCTGAGTTTTTGCGTGCATATCTATTTTACTGGCTTATTTGTATGCAGTTGGTTGTTTCTTGATGCTCGGGAAGATCCATTTTCACTTCGAAACAAGTCCCTGATTAGTCGACTCCTACGACATGCTCTTGATTTTCTCATAATGAAGCCCCAAAACCCACAGGGGGAGACTACTCCAAACAACAAGGGAGATAGTATGCTGCCTTGTTTCACTTTGCACCAAAAACCAGTCACATAGACCGTCTTCTTCTACTACTGCTGCTGTATTATCTCTTAAACGGTAGTTGGCACCTGGTGGTTTACAGCTAGACTGCGATATCTGCGTCTTTCTACCCAAAGCATAGATTTAAGCACACCTTGAATTAATCGTCTTTAAGTGTAAAGGGACCATTCTTCCGTCTCCACTCACCCCTTTCCACAATTAGGACCCTAATCTACCTTGGAAATCGAGCAGTTTGGTTTATACTCTTCCCTTTATGTCAAATGAGGCCACATATTTATATATTGGCTTGTGAGGCCAATGAAATGAAATACGATCATAGCCCTGGTAAAGGATAAGTGAATTACTGTGTTAGACAACAGCACGTGACTACAACTACGTAGCAACGACTAGTAACATCACTTGCACGAACTATAAGTTATATCTTGAATCAAGCAAATGAGTATAACCATCACATTCAACATCTTTTTATTTTACTGAACACAAAACTCACTTGGTTCACACACAAAATTAATACATTAACAACCAAGATCGTGCTCACACAGGCCATGCGCTAAGCACCACAGCTAACCAGAAAGACTTCGCTTCTAGCGAACTGACATAATAATCTCCGAGCGAAAATACACATTGGTATCTAGATTTGCATAGATTAGCTACTGAAAACATATCATCGCTTAGAAGTCAGCCAGAAAAAAACGTCCATCTCTGCTCAGTCACCCGAAACCATGCTGCTCAGCCCATGAACGGTGCTGTCGCCGCTGGGTGGGAACTCCTGTCCCTAGGGCAACTGCGCGGTTAGAAAGGGGTAAGCCCAATAGACCGTTTTTCCGGGTGCGTCAGCCTTTTATCAGCTTCGTGAACCTGTCAGCCTATAGTTCACGAGTGCAGTCAAATCCAAATTATGGCCACCCGCCTACATTCCCTCTACTGGTCACTCCTGCAGCCCTATTCAGTCATCTCATTACAGTGGCTGAAGATACTATTAACTCATGTATCATTATATGTTAATGAAATAATGGCGTTAAGTAGATAATAATCGCCTGTTTCTCCCCTAGGGCGGAATGATACCGGTTGATTGCTCCAACGCTACTGGAGGAATCGGCAACGGCGCCAATGCACTGAGAAATCTGTGGTGGTACAGTGGCGGTTTCTATAATGTCACGGGACAGTGGGACCCGATCAACACGATTACTAACGCGTACAGCGTCGACATGATTCAATTTGAGTAAGTAAAAGTTAAGTTATGTTGGCAACATGATTAAGTTTGAGCAAGTAAAATTAATGTTATCGACATAATATAGTTTGAATAAGTGAAAGTAATGTTATCGATATGATTCAGTTTGAGTTAGTAAAAGTAGCATTGTGTTATTCACATAATCAAGTGAAAGTAAAGTTATGTTATCGGCATAATTCAGATTGAGTTAGTAAAAGAAACGTTATGTTATCCACGTGATCAAGTTTGAGCAAGTAAACATAAAGTTATCGACATGAGTCAGTTTAAGTAAGTAAAAGTAAAATTATGTTCTCACAATCGACGCCTTTGCTTATTGGACATTCAAATGTGTGCTCAGTCCTCCGATGCAGCAGCAACTCCAAGGTACCTCTACTGATTGTTCCCATGAGAACAGCAAGTGGCGCACTGGGCATATGAAGCTGGACTCATATTTTAATAGAAAAATAAGGTTTAGGCCAGCTTATAATCTGCCACCTCGACGGGAAATGTGGTTAACATCAAGCGGGCTGCCTTGACTTCCCACGACTTTTACCTGGTATCCGTTTAAGGCGAGGTCGACCTAGGAGTCAGAGACAAGTTTGAGTGAACTACGGATTATAGCCCAGGACTTTCTGATCTAGCCGCTCCACCACGGCGGCACCCAAGTTTGAGAAAGGGAAACGTCTCTTACGTTGCGTACCGAATTATTATCATCATAACTATTCCATTATCACTATCATGACAATGTTGTGTCATTGTGTGTCACACAGGGCTCGAAGTCTAGTCACCCATACCGCTTTTTCCTATACAGACATTGGTGAAATGCTCCTCCTTCTCGTCCTTCTACTTGATCTTGTTCTTCTTCTTCCTCCTCCTCATTTTCTTCTTCTTCTTCTTCTTCTTCTTCTTCTTCTTCTTCTTCTTCTTCTTCTTCTTCTTCTTTTTCTTCTTCTTCTTCTTCTACGCATTCACCGGCTGTAAACTCCAGCGGAAAGTTATGGTTGTTCGTCTACTTCTGTGTCTAGTTCCAGAACTCAGAACTTGAGTTTTTTTGTTTTTGTTTTAGCACATCTGATTTTTATTCAAGAATGTGTCTTATATATCAATATTTGTATGCAGACTGTTGGTTCCTCGCCTTTCAGGCAGATGCACTCCTTCCAAGGAAACATCCCTAATTAGTCTTCTTTTACGACATGCTTGTAAGGGGCCACTGGATTCATTATTGTTGTCCCACATATTCGGTCCTGAAGGGTAAAAGCAATTCAAGAGGCTTTGGTCTCTCTTGAAAACATTTCTCCATTGTTTTCGCCATGGTCCTAAACTTGCAGTAACCAGTCATACTACCTACTGTTGAGCCAAGCAGTCTGCAGGTCTGGTCACTAACTTCCGCAAAGCATCTTTCGTCAATAGCTGTCATATATCTAATCTAAGCACCCCTGCACTGGTTAGTTTGCTAGAAGGGCTTCCTAATGTGCCAGTTTCTGTAGCATATATTTTTTTAAAGTCAGATAGTTCAAGTTACACCCAGCTCTCCTCCTTTTTCATCCCGGCTTGGGACCAGCAATGCCGAATGCATACTTAATAATTTGATATTAGCATGTGACTTCGTACTATACAAGGAGCTGATTATTTCATTGATGGAGTGTGGCCTGGAACTGCTCACAGTCAATATTAAAATAAAACTTTTGACGCTCGCAAAATTAGGCTATCCGAGTCCATCTCGTTATGCTGATAATACCGTCTTGATAGCGACAAATCAGACAGAACTACAAACATTAATGGATACGGTGGTGGGAGAAAGTGGTAAACTAGGTTTCAGTTTGAATAATGGGAATATAAAAGTAATGGTGACATCTAAGAAAAGAATCGTGTCTAAATGTGTAATAAAAGTCTTAGGCGTTATTTTAGGATAGGTACAGAAATATAAGTATCTAGACACGGGAATAAGATCCGAGGCAAGATTTATCACAAAGATCAGCAACAGACTAGGACAGGCCAAACCTGTATTTGATACAATGAAAAACATTTTATGCAATAAATCCATGTCATTGGAAGGTAGGAAAAGAAGTCTCGCATGCTATATGGAGCCAGTTTTAACGTATGGCTGTGAATCATGAACAAGCAATAAATAAGCCAAACAATTTCTTGAGGTCTCGGAGATGTGGTTTTACAAAAGAATATTTACACAGCCAACAGAGCAACACATAAAGCGGCAAAGGCTCAAAGACAACTTATCACAGAAATTAGAAAGAGATATAATTATTTGTGGGCATGTTATGAGAAAAGGGAAACTGGGTAATGTTGTGACCACTGGACAAATATGTGACAAAGAGAGAGAAAGACAGACCGAGAAGATTTTTGAAAACATTGTGTCACTGCGTGGAAAGTTGTCAACAAACAACCTGATACACGCAGCTGCAGATCGCTGAGGCATGATCGCCCACGCCATTTGGCACTAGGACGATATAATGAGGAATGGACGTCAGAGAAAGCCATGCCGAACGTCATAGTTTGCTTGGCCTAACGTATTCGGGAATGGATGGCCAGTGTAGTCGATGTATCAGGGGGTCTGATTCAAACTCTCGCCCTCCCCTTTTGTGTGGTTTCAATCCACGGTCCTTTTGTGTCAGTATCGCTGGTTTACACAATTAAGGCCTGTCCGATCGGCCAGTTTCAGTATCTAGTTCTTTACTGGTCTGCCTATTCCACTTTATCGAGCTTTGTAATATCGCTTTGAAGATCTGGCAATTTTTGTTTTTCTGAAACATTTTCTGTTTTCTCAATCTTGTTAAATGAAATAATATCGTTGTACTTGTTGTTTTTCGTGCCAGGGTCTATATCTCACCTGACCCAGAGGAAACATCGTCGCCAACAGGAACTTACAGCCCACCATCTTCCCCCGCCAGATGGGTAAAACTGGTTTCTGACAAATACATTAACTTGGATTACATTGATCTTCAGCGATGTAAGTACAATGTTTGTCTGACGGGCTATCTGTCTGTCTGTATATCAGTCCATACTCTACCCCCAGCCAGGTGGATAAAATTCATCTCTGATCAATTCAACCTTTTGGAATATTTTAATTTTCACCTTAGTGAGTACACTATAGGTCGCACTATCGGTCTGTTTGTTTGTCTGTCTCTGTATCTATCTATTGATACATTATCTATCTTTAATAACAGACAGGCAAAAAAAGACATACCCATACGCCAGTCGACAGCTGGTCAGGCACAAATGCAGGCAAACAAATAGATAGTCAGGCAAATAGACAGACAGACAAAGGGGTAGATGAAAAGACAGCCTTCCATACACGGAAGCAGACTGCCCAAATGTTCGTTCATTAACTTCTTGAAGAGCGTAGGTTTTCAGTTTAGCACACGGACCTTCTGCTGCGTCGTGATGCTGACCACATCATCCCCCGAGTGCCGATTGGTCTATAAATTATAAGTCTTGCACTATATGCCAAATGCGCATAAAGACGTGGAAAAGAGTTCTTTAGCATCAGTGATTCCCAAACATGTTTAGCACACCGCCCTAGTTTTAATGAAATATAACCCCCCCCCCCCTCCCCCCCCCACACATTTTTATTTTGGAAATATCATCCTAGTAGTATTCTAATTTCTTCATTGCTGATCTTATCTCTTGTTGTTACACCGGCAACTCTCCTAAGACATCTCATTCCTGTTGTTAATGATCTTCCGCTCATTAGTTGTAGTAAGGGTCCATGTTTGGCACTGGTAGCATAATGTCGACCGAAAACCGTTCTAATGAGATTTGCTTTGGTTAACAGAGGTATCTTTCTATGGGTTATTTTTATCAGGTAACAATAGGCAGTTGAGAGTCTGTCCAGCTGAAAGCAAAATTGCTGTTTATACTCTAAAGTTGGTGTAAACTTACCTGTCGCTAGTGAGCATGTGTTTATGTAGCCATTTGGGTGTATAATGTAGATTCACTCACTCACTTCTGTTTAGCTTCTTTGGCAAAAGCATATGTAAACACGCGTCTCCAAATGTGTGATGGCTGCTGATTCCTGAGTGCAAAAAGTTTGAAGAGCTCTTTGCTATGAGCCAGTTTGTTCATTCTGGAGATTATTCTTGGGACCTCCATAACTGTACTGAATAAGTCTGGACAGCTAGTTAATCCATAATTTTCGTATGAGAGCTTCACACATCTTTATGTCAGTTTTTATACTTGCATGTTGTCCCAACGTTTCTATTGCAAGATGATTTAATACATTTTCTCCAGTCATGTATGGTTCAGCAGATGGTTTAGAGGCCTTTTGGTTCTTTTCAAACTGAGTGAGGGTTGTGTACTGTCTATGACATTCAGGAGCTTCAAAACAACAGATTTAAGTGGCCGTCTAAACAGCAAAGTTATTGCTCTCCTACATGAAGGCTGTCGAAGACTTGCTGGTGACAACATTTAGTTATGCCAACCAGAACAGGATCTGGTTTCTTTGCGCTGCTGAGAGACTCCCTGTCTCAGTTTTACTGACTTACTGAAGCGGCTGTCTATTTAAACCACATCCAAACAGTGGTAAATTAAGCCTTCCACTCAGCGTCTAAAGTATGGGAATATTTACACCAATTCCTTCTATCCTGCCTCATCCTGCACATTTGGCCCCTCTCGACATGAAAGCTCAGCACATTTGGCCCCTCTCAACATGGAAGCTCAGCACATTTGGCTCCTCTCAACATGGAAGCTCAGCACATTTGGCTCCTCTCAACATGGAAGCTCAGCACATTTGGCTCCTCTCAACATGGAAGCTCAGCACATTTGGCCCCTCTCAACATGGAAGCTCAGCACATTTGGCTCCTCTCAACATGGAAGCTCAGCACATTTGGCTCCTCTCAACATGGAAGCTCAGCACATTTGGCCCCTCTCAACATGGAAGCTCAGCACATTTGGCTCCTCTCAACATGGAAGCTCAGCACATTTGGCTCCTCTCAACATGGATGCTCAGCACATTTGGCTCCTCTCAACATGGAAGCTCAGCACATTTGGCTCCTCTCAACATGGAAGCTCAGCACATTTGGCCCCTCTCAACATGGAAGCTCAGCACATTTGGCCCCTCTCAACATGGAAGCTCAGCACATTTGGCCCCTCTCGACATGGAAATCAGCACATTTGGCCCCTCTCAACATGGAAGCTCAGCACATTTGGCCCCTTTCAACAATGTTCTTCTAGGTTTTTCTCTTGGGCATCCTCGCTCCCTCACTTCATTTGGTTCCATATTTCAGGGCCTATTTGTTAATTCATTGGTTCCTATTTCTGCTTATGATTAGCCCAGTAAAATGCAATATTCTTTATCATATAACTAATAATACAAACAGAAGCAGAGATTACATACTGACTAATCTGATTACATACTGACTAATCTGATTTCCTCTACAGACCTTCGACAAAACCCTGATGCTCAGTGGATCTTGGGAGGGTTTGGCGGTGATAAGCTGTGGAGTTAAACAAGCGTTCAGAAAGGTTTGATATTCAATTCTCTCTTTCCCCTTCCCCCCTCCTCCTTTGTTAACGGGTGTGAGTCATGGGCAATGACAACAGCCACATTTAGGCCTCAACAATGAAATATCTGAGAAAATGTTCCAAGTGTCACAAGCAATGACAACATCTCACAGAAACTAGCTTCAGCTCTGAGAAATCAGGTCTCTGAGAAAGTGCTCTATGCAACAAGAAGGGCCAAGGTTCGCAACCAGACAATTCTCATGATTTTGAAACCAAGGCCTTACAAACTTGAGTGGATCAGTCACCTTTATGATATTTGGGACCTGTATGCAGAATAGAAGAGAATCCGCAACCACGGCAGACAGGGGAAGCCAAGAATCAGACCTCCAGCCTCCCAGACGACCCAGGGTTTGCTGGGAAGACAACATACAACAGTCTCCGACTGACCGAGGACTGGGAAGACAACATACAACAGTCTCCGACTGACCGAGGACTGGGAAGACAACATACGACAGTCTCTGACTAACCGAGGACTGGGAAGACAACATTCAACAGTCTCCGACTGACCGAGGACTGGGAAGACAACATACGACAGTCTCTGACTGACCGAGGACTGGGAAGACAACATACGACAGTCTCCGACTGACCGAGGACTGGGAAGACAACATACGACAGTCTCTGACTGACCGAGGACTGGGAAGACAACATACAACAGTCTCTGACTGACCGAGGACTCAGAAGACAACATACGACAGTCTCTGACTGACCGAGGACTCGGAAGACAACATACGACAGTCTCTGACTGTCCGAGGACTGGGAAGACAACATTCAACAGTCTCCGACTGACCGAGGACTGGGAAGACAACATACGACAGTCTCTGACTGACCGAGGACTGGGAAGACAACATACGACAGTCTCCGACTGACCGAGGACTGGGAAGACAACATACGACAGTCTCTGACTGACCGAGGACTGGGAAGACAACATATAACAGTCTCTGACTGACCGAGGACTCAGAAGACAACATACGACAGTCTCTGACTGACCGAGGACTCGGAAGACAACATACGACAGTCTCTGACTGACCGAGGACTGGGAAGACAACATACGACAGTCTCTGACTGACCAAGGACTGGGAAGACAACATACGACAGTCTCTGACTGACCGAGGACTGGGAAGACAACATACAACAGTCTCTGACTGACCGAGGACTGGGAAGACAACATACGATAGTCTCTGACTGACCGAGGATTGGAAAGACAACATACAACAGTCTCTGACTGACCGAGGATTGGAAAGACAACATACAACAGTCTCTGACTGACCGAGGATTGGAAAGACAACATACAACAGTCTCTGACTGACCGAGGACTGGGAAGACAACATACAACAGTCTCTGACTGACCGAGGACTGGGAAGACAACATACGACAGTCTCCGACTGACGAAGGACTCAGAAGACAACATACGACAGTCTCTGACTGACCGAGGACTAGGAAACGCCAAAAAGCAAACTGCCAACAGAGGAGTCTGGCGATCTCTGTACAGGACAAGGTAGAAGAGTATGGACTAAGTAATTATAGAAGTATACAATAAATCTTAGAAAGTGAATCATTACTGATTTTTTCTTTGTTTACACACGTACAAAATCTACTCTTTCATTCCCTCACACACATGCATGTCCTGGACAGTTTATCCACGTGAGTTCCTTTAATGTTGACGCCATGACGCTTGGTATCCACTCATGCCACATGCGTCCATTCTGAACATTCTGCAGTCCCGACTGAGAATCAGAAGCTATAACTCCTCTGGTAATTACCGGAACGTTTCCAAGTATCCAATTTAGACAGCGTTGACTAGGATGATGGTCCACCAATAATGACTGCAGAAGTTGAGGATACATTGCATCATATGAAGAAAGGAAAAAACATGCGGGCCAGACAACATTTCACCGGAAGAATTCGAAGCACTGGGAGATTTTGGAATTGAAATAACTGGTACTCCTGTCAAATCCGGACGAAGAATAAAAAGCCTTGGACGACTTAGTCAGAGTTCTCTCCCTTGGGTGCACTGCGAACAGTGATCGGAAAAGCCACAACGAAACAAACGACACAAGCAACATGGCAGTTAGACGCACTCACATAACTAACATCGTTATTCCGACGCAATTATTTCCAGCAAGAATGCTATAATTGGCTGTTGAGACATACCGTGGAGCTGGGAGGACTCGATGAGGCCGGCAGATCTATCGTAGTTGAAGTAGACGAGAGCTACTTCTTCAGACGAAAGTATCAGCGTGGTCGCACCACTCACGGTCGTTGGGTCGTAGGGCTAGTAGAGCGTCAGACTGGCCGTTGTTACTTGAAACTTGTGCGAAAACGAGATGCGGCGACATTGGAGAGGATCATAACAGATCACGTCCTGCCGGGAACGACTATCGTGACTGACGCTTGGCGAGGCTACAGCAACGTGGCAAACTTACGGCATGGCATCTATCTGCACGAGGT